CCCGAGGTCGCGGCGGGGGGTTGGGGGGAGTGGGTCGCTGGGCCCCCCGGGTCGGGCGCCGGGAGGGACCGCTCCTGGCCGCTGTCGGGGGTCTGACTTCATAAGCGTCTGAGGATTGGGTCGTTTTTTTCCCATCGACTTTTGTACGTAAAGCTATTGCTATTAATATATGTCACATGTGACTAAAATTCGTCCCGAAGAATCTAGTGCCGGGAAGCTGAAAGGGGTGGGAAGTGAGGAGACCTGGTTTTGGTCTCCGGAATGAACCTGCTGTGTCGCAGCGTCCTGATGGGGACTACTGACCAGTGGTGGCTTCACAGTTTCACACTGGACGGTTTGTTGGGGGGCCGCGAATTGGGGCGGGCTGGGGGACTCCGCCTCGAGGCACAAATGCCTGGAAGCTGCATTTGCGTGACTGGCTTCCAGTGTCCACTCAAGTCACGTGGAAGGGCTTGAAGGGTTTGCTGACGCCTGCCACCTCCTCTTCAGCCCCTGCCACCCCCACGCTCACCCCCTGGTAACACATTCCCTTGGTAACGTTTGCCCACTAAAATTGTGCACGTTACCTGTTAGAAAGATCAGAAAAACAAGGCACAGGGCAATAGGAAAGACGGTTAGTGTCGCTTCTGAGGTCATGTTCCCCAAGGAACTAAATCTGATTTTGCTGATTGTCATTGCTCTGTTGAGATGCTTAGCCCCTGAGTCTGCTGGAAAGCTGATTCCAGCACAGAGAATGGCAAAAGAACCCCGTTCTGTTTTACACGTGGGGTTTGAGGACGCTGTCAGCACTCCATAAATAATCGCTACTGTCATCATCATGAGTGCTGATCTGCACGTCCCAAATCTGAACTGCTAATCCAAACGAAAACTTGCGAACTGTATTAATTTAGCCTAACGGTGGAAAAACGATGAGAGTAAACAGTTGGTTCTATCTAATTTCTCACTACAGCAGACACATCATTCTTCATTTCCATGGTCCAGCCTGTAGATTCAATAATTAAATTATGTACTACTCTTGGTGGATGCCGGGAAAGCAAAGAGGAAAAATACTTCATCGTTAACTATAGATTTTTTTTTTTTTTTTTTTTTTTTGCCCTTGAGAAGACTCAGGCTTGAAAGAGCCATAGAGATTAATATGATGATTTTCAATGTCAAGTTGACTTTACTTGGCTGTCTCGTTGCCACTGAAATGTATTATAGCCTGAGTCCCTGGTTTCCCTCCCCCTCTCAAATCCACCTCTTGGTCTTTGTCTTTGGGTCTTCATAGATCCATTTGTCTTCTACCAGCCTACAGCCAATACATCACCCATTGCTGCTGGTCCTTCAACCACAACATCATTAAGCTTTCTTCCTCTGTTCAGTAAAGACTGTCATACATAATTTAGTTACTTCTCATCATTTTGGTCAACGCACACGCTCCCCTCTGCAATAAATTCAAGCTCCTGCTTGCTGCAAACACGTTACCCTGAATGTTCCTGCATTTCACTGAAAGTTCCTCATCTTAAAGATGACATCATTCATAATATAGGAAACACTCTTGAGTAATAGTTTCAAAACTTCAGATTTCAAATATTCTGCACCAACAGCAAAACCTGGCAGTCAAGGGGGAAAAAATACATTCCTTGGTATATTTTGCTCATTAACACCTTGTAACTCCAAGTGTGACTGTGGGTGTTAAGTTTCTCTTGTAAATACCTGTGCTTTGGTTTATAATTGAGGATCTTTCTCCATCTACCACAGATATAGAGGTTCATTATGCTTTCAGCCATATCTAGATTGCATTTCCTTGAGCAAGGAGAGAGGGTTTCACATAGATATGAACATAATCCATACCTTCTTAAGGACTATTGTCACAGGCTTCGACTTGTGTAAATAGAAGTCTTGGCTCTTCTATTTATAGAACTGCAGGTTATCTATGTCTGATCTATGGCATAACCTGGAATATATTTCCATATGTCCATATATTTCAGTATGATCCAGATTAAAAAGGCAGAAGTAAAGGTAAGATTCTTCTGGGGCTAGCTCAAAAGGGGCATTGATGGATTTGTGGATGTCTGCGCCACCAAGATATACTGCCTACCACCTCTCCCACCTCCCTTGCCAAGGAGAGGGTGTGACCTAAACTGGAGAAACAGAGGCAGGAGTCTGGAAAGTAGCCAATGTGTGCATCAAATTTGTCATGGGAGAAAAGACACAGGCCTTGAAGTCAGACCAGACTTAGAATCTTAATTCCATTTCTTAATACCCAAGTGACTTTCAGGAGGTACTTACATTTTTTAGAGTCTGTAAAATCAACAATAGTATTCATCCGATCATTTTTTATTAATTCTCTACTATGTGCTAAGTGTTGCAAATGCAACAATGAACAACGTAAACCAGTTCTTGCCTTCACAGGATGCCCCTCCCCCCAATAAATGCAGAATAAATAAAACTCATTGCTGGCCCAGTGAACATAATAAATGTTATTATAAGTTGCCTGTTGGAAGGAATATCTTTGTTTTTAACTTGGTGGTCGTCAGGACCAAAAACTTCTTTTCATAGCTCAACAACTGAACTTAGAGGCAAAGTACCATTTTTATTGTGTTTCAAAAGGAATAACTGTTTATGTTTCCATGTTGCAGTCCAAACTAGAGAGAACTGTTTAAACCTTAAGTAAGGGGATAACTGTAATATCTGCTAAACCACACACCAAAAAAAGTCAATGAAAATTGTAGAAAAAAGTTAAATATGTGGTCTTGTCAATATACATTTTTTATATGTATGTTAGAGCATGAGCCCAGTTATTTGTGTTCAATGAAGGGCATACAGACAGCAAATTGACATGACAGAATATTCCTATCAGAAAAAAAAAAAAGATTCCTACATAGGATGTTGAGGCCATCAATTAATTTTATTATTACACATCTTCAAAATTATAATGAAGGTCAATAAGGAAATGTTAACTTGGCATATGCACAGAGCTCAGTGCTTTGCAATATCAATAAACATTTTTTGACTAAATAAATTAATAGAAAATAATTGCTTTATGCCAAATTGTTTGGAGCATACTACACATTAAGAAAAGTCTTTGTGGGCCGGCCCGGTGGCGCACTGCTACAGTGCGCCGCTTGGGAGCTCGGCGGCGCTTCCGCCGAGGTTCTGATCCCATATACAGACTGGTTCCCGCTCACTGGCTGAGCGAGGTGCGGGCGCAGCGCCGAGGGTTGCGATCCCGTTGCCGGTCCCAGTCCAGTGCGGGCGCGACACTGAGGGTTGCGATCCGTTGCCGGACACGAAAGAAGACAAAAAAAAAAAAAAAAAGAAAAGTCTTTGTGAATTCTAGTTATACCTCTCTATCTGCTTCCTTTTATTCTTTACATTTAATAAACCTGGAGAGACATTTGATAAGTGGGACATTGGCACTGGTAGGTCAGGAAACCAAGGGTGAACAGAGTTGTTTTCAGGAGGAGTGGATCTCAGTCTTTGGATTTGGGTCTCGACCCGAAGTGACTATCTCCAGAACCAGAACTGAAGGCAGCGGGGAAGGCTGTCTGCTTTCTTGTGGTATGTCGTTTCTCTCCATGACTTGCTTTTCCTCTACAGAGCTGAACGTGTATAGCCTCTTTTGTACATAACTGGTTGAAGTTGATGGAAATTACATGTCTTATCACTTCTTAAAAGAAAAAAATATATAAAATATAAATCTAAAAGAAATGGGCAATTTTCTTGTACCACTTTATACTTCTGTGTAAGTTACCAAGTGCCAATCATTCTTACTTTTTAAAATTCAAATTTGTCAAGCAGCATGTAAGCTCTCAGTGTTGTACAAGAAAAGATAATGCTTCATGTGGAACAGTCATTTATGCTAGTTCTGTGAAAGTGCCTACCCGATG